TGTCTACAGATTTACTAAAAACTTCCCGACTGTCTAAAGAGGCGTTTGTGAGCCAAATCTATTTAAAATATTTTAAAACTATCCACAGCTCTATGATTTGTTCTCAGAGATCGTCCCAACTGAGTACTGGGATTTTTCTTCACAAGTAAAGCAGCCTTTCGAGCTTGTGTTTTGTATTCACGACGTTAAAACTGCATGAAATTGATAAAAAATTGTTTGAAATTAGTGTCTACCCGCAAAAAGTAAGAAAACAAATGCAAAATCATGAATTTTTCACAATTTTCTAACACTGGGGTAGCGACCCCATCGAAAGCAAAATTCCGTTCGACAGAAAATTCGATACTCAACGAAAATTTCGACACGGTTGCATAACTCATAATACGAATTTCACTTTCGATCTTCGATAACCAGCGAAGATCGAAAATCGAATGAAACTCATAATAAGGGCATTAGTTTACGATATAGCAAAACGAGTGTGAAAATGTATCGATTTTTCTTTACGATATTTTGGAAAAATTACATTTTTATTAAATAATGTCAAGTTTGATCATCCGTTTATGTAATTTTTATATTCATTGCATGATTATGCAAAAGAATAAGGTATCATTTTCTTGTTAATTGTGTGAAATAGCCAGAACAACCACAGTGATGTGAAGTCGATGTTTATCGAAAGCATGCTGTGAAACATACAAATAGTAGATATCTAAATGTTATGCACAAATTTACTTTAAAAGAACTAGCGTGAAACTGACTTATTATTTGAGAATTTATCTAAATTATTCCAATTATAAAATTGTGATGTAGCTTTATTCGAATTGTAATACGCATTTAATTTCATCTTCCGATTAAAATGGATCGATCTTTGTAAATTTTAATTGGAGATTATTCAATATTATCAAAATCACCCTCTACCAACTTAATTTTTACATATTTCGTCTGTTTTCCCTTAATTTGATAAAATACTTCTTCCTAGTTACGACTTAGTTGCAGCTGCAGTCGAAACTAAATTTTAAGTTGGTCCTTAGCCAGAAAAGTCGAAACTAAGGCGACTATGAATAGCTTTAGTTGTGACTTAGAAGAGTTTCTACTTAGTTGAGTACTAAATATGACTATGAATATGCGCCATTGTTTTTAAACAAATGTTTAACGCAAATAAAACATGAGTTTTAGCCTTAGATAGTGTTCCATTTCTTGCGAATCTATGTCGTACTATAACCTTCCTACTTATTTTGAATTTTGTATCGATATTTGGAATATCGAGTCCTTTAATTACTATATTAGTGGATACGCGATATTTTTACAGCGATACTTTAAATGAGTATTATATCGATACTTTCGGTTCGATATCGTGTCCCTACTCACCATTACAAATGGGCTTAGTCGATACTTTTAAGTATTGATCGATACTCGGCACCGATTTTCTATGAGTCTTATGGGCTGTTTTTGCTTTCGCGTAAAGCGAAGCGCACATTGGCGCGATTCTGTCGTTGCGAATCCGCAATCCCAAAAATTACAACAATGCTACCCATACATTTTAATGCGCTAGCGCACACTTGCACGATTCCGTCGCTGCGAATTTTTCGAACATTCAATGTTCTCCTCTTTTGACGCATGCAAAACGCAGCTGACAGCGATTTGAAAGCGGCAAAGAAGAGGAAAACAACGTAAAAACATTTAGTTCAAAGAAAAAAATGGTTGATGTCGAAAAACTAATAGAAAACGTGCATAACAATCCCATTTTATATGATGTTACACACGCTGAGTACAAAAACATAAGAAAAAAAGACAAAATATGGGAAAATATCGGAGTGGAGTTAAAAGAAAGTGGTAAGTTTGATATATAAAAGTGAGAGTGAAGTTTGTATTGTATTTAACCTGCAACTTTAACATTTTTAGGGGAAAATATAAAAAAAAGGTGGAAGAACTTGAGAGACACGTATGGGAGATATATTCGAGCTACCAAAGGTAGAACTGGTCAAGCAGCCAACTCAAAAAAATGGGTTTGGGCTGAACATATGACAGCTTTCCGTCCATATCTTGCTTTTGCACCTACCAGTTCAAATATAAGTGACATCGAGTGTGTAGAATCCAACGAAACCATTATTGGAACACCGGAGCTTGACAATTTCAGCGTGGATTGTGCTCCAGTAAAAGTAAACCGCACTCAAAGCGCTAAAAATCATCCATCTACTCAACAAAGTTCTGTCGGAGAGTTAATTGAATATTTTGAAAAGAAAAAAAAAGTTGAACAGGACTCTATTGATTGTCTTTTTATGGCCCATGCTAAAACAGTGAAGAGTTTTTCGAAACGACGGCAGCTTTTAACGAAACAGAAAATTTCTGAAATAATAATGGAACAAGAGATGTTGGAGCATGATGAAGCCATCAGTTCATCGACCCCTATTTTTCGTAATCTTGAGACTGACGCGGAATACGTTTTAAGTGATGATAATAGCACATACTCCAAATCAACTGTCGACCTCACTTCGCCTTCAGCCATTGCTCCATATATCAACTCGTCGCAATGTAGTTTTAACGAAAGAGATCTTCCATGCTCAACACCTAACTCAATGGATGGGAGTATTTCTTCATTCTTCTGCACAAATGATCCTCTCGAATGAAATTATTTAGCTTACAAATTACAATGCGAACCAAGAGAAATATGTTATTTTTCAAGCTTTTGTACCTTGCAATGCAAAATTTTACTGCATTATTTACCAAAACCAAAAATACAGCAAATACACTGTACAAGAGCATGTACAACAAATCCCGAATACCTCTATTTTGAATGTATGTATTATTTACTATGGAAATGCGAATTTTTTAAAGGCAACTAATTCAGTATTTTTTTTTTTGTGAATTGCAACAAGCCCATTTCCAATTAAATGCTGTGTTTTTATTTAATGGAATTCATTTCGATGTGTTTATTTAATAAAATTTATTTGTTTTTATAAACTTTTTTGTATTTATTTTATAAACGTGCATGTTATTCAAATACAGGTTCAGTGGTATTTTGAGCTCGTTCGCTCCCAACGGTTCCAGCAGTAGGCTCATGTTGATTATTAAAATACGTTACAAAAAGTTCACGAGTAGAAAAAGCCAAATTAGATGCACGGCGTGAATCAGTACTCATACCAATAAAAGGTAGAGTTCGAGGCTCTGGTGATTGTAAGTTGTGGAATAGGTGGGAGTCGCTTTTTTTTTCAATTAAATAATTGTGCAAAACACACGCTGTTTTTATTGTAAGTATCGTAGTGCTAATTTTGGTTTCAATAGGACGAAAAAATATGCGAAACTTTTGAGCCAAAATGCCAAAAGCATTTTCCACGACTCGTCTGGCTCGACAAAGTCTGTAGTTATATTTTTCTTTTCGTAGATCATGTTTTGATTGCTTGTATGGGAATGGTCTCATTAAATAAGGCTTTAAGCCAAACGCTTCGTCCCCAATTAATACACATTGACATGGTTGAGATTGATTAGGAAGATTTTTAGGTAGAGGCACATTCATCAAATTTTCTTCAAACTTTTTACCCATATTGGAAGCTTCAAATATTCCTCCGTCACTATTTCTGCCGAATCCACCTACATCAACACACAAAAACTTGTAATCAGGGCCAACGATAGCCATAAGCACGACGGAAAACTTGTGAAGATAACACCAGTAGTTCGATCCAGTTTTTTTGGGACACTTAATAGTCACGTGCTTACCGTCGATACTACCTACGCAATTTGGAAATTGCCACAAATCTTGAAATCCTTGAGCAGATTTTTCCCAAATTTCCATTGTTGGTTCCGGCAAATAAATTCTTTCCATTTTTTTTGATATCGCCTCAAATACTTCGTTAACAATCAAGCTGACTGTTCTAAATCCTACACGAAAGCTATGACCAATTGTGATAAATGAATCGCCAGTTGCGAGATATCTAGAAATAATGTATTAATGGGGTGAGAGTAAGCAATACCATACACCATATTTAAAAATTTACCTTAAGGCAATGGCAAGTCGTTCTTCGGGTCCTATGCACTCTCGCAAATGTGTGTCTGCTTTTTGAATCTCATTTTTAATAATACTCAGTACTTCATCAAAGCACTCAATAGTCATTCGGAAATATTTATAAAAACGAATATGGTCTTTGCGAAGCTGGGACATCAAAGTAGAGAATTCGCCATTTTCTTTCCGATCGCGATTAATTTCATGGATCCATTTTCTTCTTTTCATGCTTGTTTTATTTTGTTTTATTTTATTGTTTACTGCAAGGTAAATAAGCGCCAGCTCCTCATCAGACGAATCCATCGAATTTCGCTTAAATCCAAATAACAAAATACAATTAACTAAAATAAAACGAGAATATTATACATACGAAAAAATCGCGCAAGTGTGCGCACGATTGCGGATTCGAAGTTAACAGCCGAATTCGCAACGTATTCGCAACGATGGAATCGCGCTAATGTGCGCTTCGCTTTAATGTAGAAATTGAGTTGCATTTAGGTGACAAACTTTGTATGGATAAATGGACATTAAGGGCCGGTTGCTCAAAGCCTGGTTGACACTAATCATCGGTTAACATCGTTATCGACGTTTTCGAATCCATGTATATAACACGGTGTCGGTAACGTCGATAACGATGTTTAACAAGGGATTAGTGGCAACCAGGCTTTGAGCAACCGGCCGTTAGAGTGGCATTTAGAGCTAGGTGCGCTTGAGTACTAAATATGACTATGAATATGCGCCAGATTTATATCTGGCCAAGGACTGTCACTCCAGCAACACTCCCCAAAAAGTCTTTGGGGAATTTGTATGCTGCTACAACAACTATGAATATGCGCCTTTGTCTTCGATATATCGACCTTGTAATATCGATTCAAAAAATCGATTATCGTGCGGTGAAATATCGATATTCAGAAAAATCGATACGATATCGAGCATTCCTACTTGGAACGCAGTAAAAAGTATCGAGTACAAAAAAAAATTGCTATATTGAGAGAAGTATCGAGTATGTACTTGGATTTACTTGTATCGATTAAAAAGTTCGAAGAATGTAAAAAAATAATGTTTTGTTAAAGATTACCGAAATGGGAGCTGTTGTCGAAACGTCAAGACTAATTAAATTAAAAAAAAAAGACTAATAAAATATTCTTTCGGGCAGTGAAAGACACCGCTTTTGAAATACTCCTTGCAGCTTATGAAATAGTAAATTAAGAAAAAAATTGAAATGTTACCAGAGTCGGCTACATTTGCTTTGACTTTGCTTACTTATGGCGCAATACTTCTACTGCTAATCTACTACGTATGCTTTAAACGGCAATGTGGATGGGTGAATTTAAGCTTTAAAATTACAGGTCCTGACACTTGCTGATCTGGAGAGTGACTACCTTAATGCCCAGGAGTGCTGTGCTCGGTTGAATTTCTGGGTTATTCCTAAATTCGGGTCGCACGCAATACTCTGTATGCTCCTCTTACTGGGCGGCCATTGGATAATGTTTTTACTAAACATTCCAGTGGTGGTTTGGTTAGGTTATGAAATACACAAACAACCAAGGGATAGCCTAGGCGTTTACGATCCTGTAGACATACATAGCCGTGGATTGTTGAAAGTGCATTTGAGGAACTGTATGATTTGTTTGGGATTTTATTTTATAATGTTCTTCATAGCTTTGTATTGGTATGTTACACAAAATTCCTATAAGTATAATAATTATTATATTTGCTAAATCTCTTACTTTTCAGCTTAATAACGGCATTACTTAAAGGAGATCCGATCAAACGACATGAGGAAGGTCTAATTGTAACTGATTTCTAAGTTTCGGTGCCCCAAAAAGTGGCATTATTAGTTGCGGTATAGTACAGGATTTAATTTTCAACTAGCCAGAAATTTATATATATTAGTTACATTCCAGCAGCAGTACGAATAGCAGGTTTTGCAGGATTTTACAGGATTTACAGCTGTTTTCGCCATTAATAAATCTTATGTAAGGAGTCGTGCGGGAACAGCTTCCTGGAAAATCCTGTAAATTCCTGCTATTCGTACTGCTGCTGGAACGCAACTATTATGAATATACCTTTGTATGTATGTATATACATAGTGCCGGTGATACTGGTAAACGTTGTATGACACCTCTGGTGCTTAAATGACCTGTCACCTGTATCTGATTGCCTCAGTTAGTCGCTCATATTCATCAACAAAGTAGAAAGTTTTGGCATTAATGTATGATTTCCAGGTGCATTTCAGTGCAGATATAATCGAAGTGCTAAGGGTAATATTTGCCATAGAACTTTTTGCAATCACCGACGATATGTAATGGCAGAATCGCAATGGGGGGTTCTGTTGGTCGCGCGTTTGACATGAGTAGAACTGCATGTCGCAATGAAACCTCAAGGGTTTGACCCTAAATTTTTTGCCAATATCGTATGCAGTGCACGAATTTACCACTTCATTGGGCGATCTACCCACTTTTTAGTATATTATATTTTCTACCATTTTAACCAACAAAGACTAAAAATCTACCAATATTTTGCGGTAAGAAAGCAAACATTTAAATGAACATACAAACTTTGTCATCGAACACACCTTAAATAAAAATGAAAAGTTAACTTTGACGGAGAATAATTGTTCGAGTCTCCCTCCTTTAAATTAATACAGGGCCCGAATCATGATTTAATAACAGAGGTGCTAAAGAATGCAGCCTTCGTGACTTTAAATCGTTGCAGTCACATTCACTGACTAACACTTTAACTGTAGCCAATCAATCACATGTTTGACTATAGACTGCAAAGTTGAAGTCATTAGTCTTTTCTGTTATTCATAACCAACTAGTCATTATTGCAGTCTGGGGTGAATAATGAAAGTCTAAAGCAATATTTGCGTTCACTTTTTCATAGAATTACAATACTAATTTGTTTAGGAAATAAATGAGTACAAAAAAGCTTAATAAAACTCCAGTAGTATATAAAATATTTACAAAATTAATTCCAGTAACTTCCAATGAAATAAATTTGTATTTATTATATGTACATAATCTGTACATATTATGTAAATGAAAAAACAATAAAGTGCATGAGAACACGTTTCCAAAAATATTAACAATGATCCTTGAAAATTAATAATACGTCTCCGTTAACTTTCAGACACAGCAATTTTTCGAAATTGTCGGAAAGCGTTCCAAATGTAATTTGGACATTCTGAACACTTACGGCACGAATTTTTCTTGCACAGAAAGTGAAAAATTGTTCCAGAAACGATCTTGAAGTTGAAATGATCTAGACTTTTTCTGGCTAAGAATTAAAAGACAGGGTTTTCACTAAAACGATTTCTCATCTCAACACGCGGACGTCCCTCTCATTAACATTAAGTTTAATTTTCATTTTTTCATTTATTAACAAAATCATTAGCACAATAAGATCAAAAGAAAGATCTTTTATAGCGCAACAACAAATTCAGAACAGTAGCTCGTTTTTGTAACTCTTCTCTGCCGATTATTTCTCTACTGGTAGAGAATATACGTCATTCTCTACTACTCATTAGCAGTAGAGAACAGGGCGGCGAATTCATATCCCAATTCGCCTTGGTAGAGAATTGTTACAGAAACGAGCTACAGTACATACATATAACTAAAACAGCAAAAATTACTTAGGACTAAATAAAAGTAGGATAATATAATTAACAGAGTAGTATTTTTAAGTGAGTTCTACAATTCCAGGACATATACTTAAAGTAAGACTTAATTAAGTTCTCAAAACTTTTGTTCTCGTTTTGTTCTCTAGCAGAACGTTTCCCAGACTTTGGTTCTTATTTGATCCTCCTTGAAAATGTTCTCGGTACTTTCGTCCTCATTCTTTTCTTCTTGAGAACGTTCCCTAGAGTTTTGTTCGCATTCTTTGATATTACCTTTTGTTTTCATGCAGAAATAAACCAAAACCGGATCGCGTTCTCGGTCCCTGAAAAAAATTCAAAATACTGCAAAAGATTGCATTCCAATGGCTGAAATCAAATGACTAACAAAAAGTTACTAAAAGAATGCAATTCAACGGCTGAAATCAAGTGTCTAACAAGAAATAAATAAAAAAGTGATTTATGAAACATAAATCAAAAAATAGAAGGCACATTTTTTTTTAGTTTTAGTCAGGACTAACAAAAAATGATTGCAATCACTCGGGACTTCAATCAAATTAATAATTTAGTAAAAATGATTGCATTCTTTTGAATCAATAACCATTTTCTCGAATCAATAATAAATTTTATAAAAAATATTTTTTGAGCACTCGGTAGTGAAAAAGGTGTATTCAATCTTCGTCTCACGGCTTCATATGTCAAATGGCTGCTGTTGATTGGTTGGAGCAGTTGATTGTTTTCTGTTCTCTTTCACATCCTTCGTATGAAATTTATGACAATCCTCACCGCAAAAGCATAAACAAAATACATGTACATTTTGTTATTGTCGTACCGATACCACCTTATTGAATACGCCTTTGTAGTGAATAAGCTTTTTCAATTAAAACTGAATTGCGAAAAAAGCTGTTGTTGTTGTAGCGGCTATAACAACCCCGCCCTGATCGGTTAATATCTCAGTCGTTGTCGTCAAGTTCCACTAACGGCAGCCCTAAGAAGCGTGCAGCCTCAATAGGGTCGGCCCACAGGGACAAAGCCGTTAGGGTTGTCGGCTTTTCCGGGCATACGAAGAGATGTTTCGAGTCATGGGGTGTCTTCGCATGCCGGACACTCATTTGTTACATCTGCGTTTAGTCTGCTCAGGTATGAGTTTAACCTGCTGCAGTAGCCAGAGCGAAGTTGGGCTATTGTGGTTCTAGTCTCCCGAGACAGATGAAGCTCCGTCTCGTCAATGTCCGGTGGTTGTGCGCCTAGAACGGCATTCACAGGTCTGGAGTCTACATAAATCGAGACTGACTCCCTGTGAATGCCATTCAGGGCCTGTCGATAAGCTGACGGATCCAGGGGTTGTTTAACCTCTGGACTTCGTCCGTCAGTTCGTAGGGATGCCTCCTGACGTGCCTGGGCGAGCGCTCTTCAGCAAGCAGTTGCCTATTTGGGTGATCGAGTCTATGGCTCCCAACAAGAAACTGCTTGCAGAGCATTGTGTTGTGCTCCTTAATCGGGAGCAATTTCGCATCGTCGTGCAGGTGGTGTTCTGACGACATCAGAAGGCATCCAGTCGCTGTCCCTAGTGCGGTGTTTTTTTGTCGTCTGCAGCTTCATCCACTGCATCCTACTAGTCCCCGCCGACCACACTGGTGCTGCGTAATTTAAAACCGGGCGGCCTATTGTTTGTATGTTGCCAGCAACGTTTCTTTGTCTTTGTTGACAATAGCGGTTGTGTACGCAGAGAAGGAGAGCAGACTGACGAATTTTACTCCGAGTGTTTTGGGGTTATTCAACGTCGGAATTGGTGTATCATTGACGTGAATTCCCAGCGGTAGCCTGACCTCCTTCGCCCAGGTGGTGATCAAGATCGCAGAGGATTATGTAGGGGAGATTGTTAGGCTCCTTGCAGTGAAGAAGCGAGAAAGCTAGGAGAGATACCCGTTTATTTTCGAACGCAAGTCATCAATTCCATTCCCAGTCGCCATGATCGAGCAATCGTCGGCGTAAGAGACAATGCCCGGCACGATTGCAAAATCAACTTTCAAAAACACGCACGAGCCCGCACGTTAAGAATTTCAGTGGGGTCCGGCCCGGCCCGGCCCGGCACGCTCGGTTTGGACGCCGGGGACTAGTTGGACGCAGTGGACGAAGCTACAGACTTGTCAGAACGCCGCACTCCGGACAGCGACTGGGTGCCTTCTGATGACGCCTGAGCACCACCTGCACAGCGAGGCTCCCCGTAAGGGAACTCAACAAAATGCTCTGTAAGCAATTTCTGGTGGGGTGTCACAGAAGTGAACACCCTAACAGACCGTTGCTTCAGGAGGAGCCTCCGCCCAGGCACGTCAGGGGGCACCTATTCGTGTACAAGGACGCAGTCCAACAGTACGTAGACCAACCATTGGACCCGACGACATACAGACGAGCCATCAACGACATTCATAGAGAGTCAGTCACTATCTACCTCGACTCTCGACCTATGAATGCCGTAATACGAGCCCAATCACCACCTGTAGAAGAGACGGAGCTTCAACTGCCACGAGAGACCCGCGTTACCCTGGCTCAATTACGGTCTGGTTACTGTAGCCGCCTCAGCTCGTTTCCTGGGCCTCCCGTTAGTTGAGCTTGACGAAAATGATTGAACGTATGTAGACCCGCAAAAGGCGGGGCTTAGTAGTGCCGCTACAACAACAACAACAACCCGGCACGACGGGACACGCCCCAGCCCGGAAATAAAGAGCCAACTTTTATTGCATGTATACATATGTACATATTTTTAATTTTGTGTTAATGTATCAATTATGTATTATGTATCAATTTTACATCAAAGAATTTTATAATATATTTTCTGGGAAGTAGAAAAAGTGGAAGGTATTTTATGTACCGATATGAAAACGAAACTACTAAGTATCTTATTTTTTCTATCGGTTTCCAAATATTTCTTTTTTTGCTTTTCTTTTATCAATAGAGTTTTAAATATATATGTACTATTTTTTTTTGTATAAAAACAAAAGCTCATTTAAATTTGTAGTATTAGCAACGGGATTTTTCGTGCTTATTCGTGCTTTTATGAAATTTTACTGAACGCCCATGCACGCACGAGTTCGTACTGACAGCAAACATTCCGGCCCGTGCCCATCTCTAATCGAGACTCCCTCTGGTGGTTGAGGAAGCTTGGAAATATAAAAGCTAAACAGTAGTGGAGAAAGGACACCACCCTGTGGAACCCCCTGTTTTATTTTTCTCAGTTTGCTCGATTTGTCTCTAAACATTACCGACGAGTGTCGAGCACTCAGATAATTCGCCGACCACCGTTTGAGCCTCTGTGGGAGATAGGAAGCCTCTATCCCCCTTATTCTAGAACCCGAATTTTTGTAATTCGTAATTCGTAGCTATGCTACGAAAAACGAAAAATCCACATGCTGCAACCCTTGCGAAAACATGTGCAGCATTGCCAGCTATCAGTTGTTTTTCGAATATAGGTGAATGAAGGAAAACGAAGTGGAAAGGAATTAAAAAAACACTCATCAAGTGTTTATTTATAGTAAAATTTTTTGATTTTACATATTTTCAATAAAACGATGGATTCTATTGCATTTGCAATTATAGCAGCGGAGTAAGAGCGCGCTATGGGAATGATGTCACAAAGTTATGCGGAGCTGTTGGGCATAGGAACCATGGGCGCATCTATGTCAGCTTCTGGTTGAATTGTTGAACCACAAGCCAGAACTCCTCCTATGTCTGAAGAACTGGTTCTCAATCCAGTTAATGCCAGCTTCTTCCAAGCCATTGAAAACATGCATTTTGTTATGTCCACCACCTGTTGCACTTGCTTCTGCCTTCGGCCGCGCTTAGGGATTATAACCCTTATGGTGCATTTACATGGTATGGAGCCATATGAACTGTTGATACGCTAAAATAGAGGGACTACATGTTCCAATGAGGAATTCAATGATATCGAGTGGGATGCATATAATAAATTTTTTCATAAGAAAAGTTATGGGGAGATACTGTAAACATACTGTTGTGATACTGTTAAGCATATGAAATTATAGCAAGTTGGATTTTCATACATCTTCCCATAAAAAGTTTAACAGATGCAGAGATACCAAGGAGGGTTTTTTCACATTTTGATGCCTTTTTGATATAAAAACCCACCGAAAAGGAGGAAAGCGGCAACTCCGCCATTCACATACATGTCAAAAGTATGAATTTTAAAATTAAAAACCACGTATACTGTGTTAAAAACAATAAA